GGGGCTCTCTCCTTGTCTGTCTTCTTTTCTCATACATAGGGAAAGGAGAAAGAAGATGAAGAACTAGGAAAGAATCATTTCCACACATTCCTCTATTCCTACTGTCCGGAGATTGGCAAGCTTTCGGAAGCTCTGGTCTCTAGTCACGCCTGACCAAAGTCAACTTCCCGTGCGTGAGGGCCATATGTGAGGGGCCAGGAGGGGGGCAGAAAGTCCGGAATATGGTAGTGTTTCGAGTTTCAAAATCGTTTCCATAGTTTCAAATTAGTCTCAAGTCAGTTTCAAACTAGTTTCAAAATCCAGTTGAAATATCGCTGTTAAGGAGGAGCTGCAATTTCTGTCCGCGCTTGTTGAAAACCAGAACTTCTGCATGTTTTGCAATTGCGCGTAGAAAAACGCAGTTTCCCCTTAACAACGATTTTGCAACTGGATTTTGAAACTATTTTGCAACTAGTCTGAAACTACAGAAACGAATTTGAAACTTGAAAAACGCAGCATTTCTGCTCCCTGGCGCTTGGCCACGCCCAAGCAAGAGGAGGCCAGAAGCTGCGGCTCGCGAAACACGCCTGGATCGAAAAGTGCACCTCCGACTTTCTTCCCAAAAGCCATTCCAGCAACAACTCTTGCCAAGGCAGCCACGCAATCACAAGTCAGCAAATTATCTTGTCTGAGACTGTGTCTCTTCTGAGTGTTTCTATTCCTATCTCTGCGTCCTTTCTCCTTCTCACTTTTCCTTTCACTTTTCTTTTGTCTCTTACAACGTGAAGAAATAAGAAAGAATCATTTCCATATTGTCCCCTATTCCTGTCTCTAAATCGGTAGATTTTTCAGAATGGAAGGAGGGCTTCTTTCTCCCTCTCACTTTTCCTTTCGCTTTTCTTTATATTTTCTCACTCCAACCAAAAAGACAAGGGAGAGAGGTGGGAGATATAAAGCCCTTTACCTTCCCAAAACAGAGAAAAGTGACGAGAATCAATCAGGGAAACCTGGCTCCTAATCTCCTCGGTTTCCGCTCTTTCCTCGTTATTCTCTCTTCCTTTCTTCTCTGCTGGCGCTTGCATTCTTATCAAAATATGAAAGTTGCGGGGGCATCCCTTTCACTTTCTCCCTTCTACGGGCACTTCACTCCTTTTTTCCCACTATCTTCTTCGATCTTCCTTCCGAAAAAATTCGAAAAGGAAGCGATAGACCAGGGTGAAGGAGCAGTTTCCATCTTCGTTCCCGGCACCTTCTTATTCGTTCTTCTCTCTTATTATCTCTTTGTTTCTTTTCTTCCGCCCAAAACAGGAATTGCCGCAGGGCTCTCTCTCCTAATCTTTCTTCTTTACTCATATGGGAATGATAAAGAAGAAGAAATGAGAAAGAATCATGAGCTCTTCTTTTCGTATCTCTTCAGCATTTTCAGCATGGAAGGCGGGCCAGAGGCGAGAGAGTGCAAAGGGAAGAGACGCGAGAGATCAATGGGGACAAGCGAAGGGACGTGCGGGGAAAGGAGGGACAGCCCGGTCGAGACAAGCTCCCGAGAACCTGCGTGCAGGCAGGTGATCTTTCTTCACTTATCTTCATCATTGTCTCATTTTCTTAGTGGGAAACGTAGAATGCAAACAAGATAAAAGAAAGTCAAGGGAAGAAAGAGAAGGGTTCCTTTTTGTGGTGAGAAGGTAGTCGGAAAGCAAAAGGAGACTCCTCTTTCATTCTGTTTATCCCTGCCTCTTATAGTCTTTTTCGGAAGGAAGAGAAAAGAAAATATGCGGATAGGAAGGGAGCCTTTCTTCGATGGGAAAAGTGAAAGAAATGCCCCCGCACCTGTCACACAAAGCAACAGAAGAGAAAAGAAAGGAAGTTATAACAGTGCAGAAGGAGGCGAGGAAACACTAGAGGCCGCCCTTCTTCTGTCCGTTTGAGCGTGACGAAACAAAAGAAATGGAAAGATGAAAGTCGGGAGGGGGGCTGGTAGCTGTTCCTTTCTTTTCCGAACCAGGATTCCAGGATAGCGAAGGAAATAGTAGGGAAAGGCCCTCTTTCTTCTTTCGTGTTTATTTATGTCTGCACTGTGCAAAGAAAAGAAGGCGGGGACAGGCCGTTTAGAAATGAAAGCAGGCGATCTTTTCATCCATTTTGGTCACCTTTCTATTTATTGAGCTGTAAGGGGCTCTCTATCTCTCACCTCTCTCCCTTGTCTTCTCCCTTCTGCTTGGAGTGAGAAAAGAAAAGTGAAAGGAAAAGTGAGAGGGAAAATGAAGCCCTCCTTCCATTCTGAAAAATCAGCAGAGATAGGAATAGAAGAACTCCGAAGATAGGAACACAGGAACGTCTGCACATGATTCTTTCTTTTTCCTCCTTTTCTTTCTAGATTCTGGGTTTAGGAGTTAGAGTTTAGGAAATACGGTATAGAGTTTCTTGTGTAGGGTTTTAGAGTGTACGAATTTGTGGTCAGGGTTCCGGGCTTAGGGTCTGAGATTGCAAGAGCCAAAACATTTATCAGTCCGAAATGAGTTGTCTAAGTGCGCATATGCGTGAGACGTTGTTGGAGAAGTAGCTGGGTTGTCTTGGATATGCTAAAATTGATTAATAATCCCAGGCGGTAGCTTCTAAATAGACCCTATTTTGCTCAGCCACGGGGGGGGGGGGGGGGGGGAGGGGGGGGGGGGTTGGGTACGTCCAACCCCGTGAATTTCCCTCACTGAGCCATGACGTCTCTCGTGCCGCTGCCAATGAAACAGTCCATCCTTGTAGGTGGCAATACTCTTGCGAGTGTTTCAGACAATTCCAAACCCCATAGAAAAAGCCCAAAAGTACACCCTCAACCCCAAACCCTCAAGTGCAAGCCCAAAAGTCCTTTGACCTTACACCCTAAACCCCAAACCCCATAGAAAAAGCCCAAAAGTACAGCCTCAACCCCAAACCCTCAAGTGCAAGCCCAAAAGTCCTTTTGACCTAGGTTTTACGGTTTAGGGTTTAGGGTTGAGGGTTTTTTGTCGGGTTTCGCGTTTCGGGCTTCGATTTCGGGCTTAAAATTAGTTGACGCGATCTTCGCGTTTTGAGACTTTTTACACACATGTCCAAATACATCGCAAAAACCATGCTTTCCAGCACCTCACACACCCCAAAGCACCAGGCGCCCTGAGGCGCGCAACCCTAGTAGTAGTAGTAGTAGTAGTAGTAGTAGTAGTAGTAGTAGTAGTAGTAGTAGTAGTAGTAGTAGTAGTAGTAGTAGTAGTAGTGTAGTAGTAGTCGTAGTAGTAGTAGTAGTAGTAGTAGTAGTAGTAGTAGTAGTAGTAGTAGTAGTAGTAGTAGTAGTAGTAGTAGTAGTAGTAGTAGAGTAGTAGTAGTAGTAGTAGTAGTAGTAGTAGTAGTAGTAGTAGTAGTAGTAGTAGTAGTAGTAGTAGTAGTAGTAGTAGTACTACAGTAGTAGTAGTAGCAGTAGTCGTAGTAGTAGTAGTAGTAGTAGTAGTAGTAGTAGTAGTAGTAGTAGTAGTAGTAGTAGTAGTAGTAGTAGAAGTAGTAGGAGCAGCAGCAGCAGTAGGAGTAGTAGTAGAAGAAGTAGTAGTAGTAGGAGTAGGAGTAGGAGTAGGAGTAGGAGTAGTAGTAGTAGTAGTAGTAGTAGTAGTAGTAGTAGTAGTAGTAGTAGTAGTAGTAGTAGTAGTAGTAGTAGTAGTAGTAGTAGTAGTAGTAGTACTACAGTAGTAGTAGTAGTAGTAGTAGTAGTAGTAGTAGTAGTAGTAGTAGTAGTAGTAGTAGTAGCAGTAGTAGTAGCAGTCGTAGTAGTAGTAACAGTAGCAGCAGCAGCAGCAGTGTTCGTCGCAGCAGCAGTCGTAGTTAGTGGTAGTCGTAGTAGTGGTCGTAGTCGCAGTCGAAGTCATCGTCGTCGTAGAAATGGAACGTGTAGTGTTGGGGTTTCAGAGTTTGGAGTTTAGGTTGAAACTTCAGATTGGATCCAAACTGTGAGTGAAAGGTTTCCCAGTAAACAAAGCGGGAGAGTGCTTCGCACCCCCATTTTGCCGTTAGGCAAGAAATCCAAGTGTAACAAATATTATGCAAGGCGTGAAAGAACGCGCGATTTCATTTTTTTAATTTACTGTGTATTTACTCACTGTACTCTATTGTTATTACTGTGTATCGCGGGCTCACCAAAAGACGAAAAAGCAGTTCCACAGCCTTGTGCCTTGTTCCTCCATGGGAAGTCTGCTTGTTCTAGATGCCTCTCAGCCAAATGTCGAAGCGAAGATGTTGGCGATGTACCCAATGTTGGACAGCGGGAGCAGCTTTTCCCCCATCATCCCACACATCTCACAGCAACAAAAGCGAGTTGAAACCCTAAACTCTAAACCCTAAACCCTAAACTCTAAACCCTAAGCCCTAAACCCAAACCCTAAACCCTAAACTTTAAACCTTGAAGCGCCCAAGCCCCCCAAGTCCTCCAAAGGATGTTCCTCGCGTTGTCGCTTCGTCCCTTAGAAAGCAGATCGGCTGGCAGATTTGATGATTTTAAGCCACGTGGACATGGGTTTAGGGTTTAGGGTTTTCGGGTTTTAGGGTGTAGGGTGTAGGGTTTAGGGTTACAAGGTTTAGGGGTGGAATTTCCAGAAGGAGTTAGCCGATGGCAGCGCATGACTTCTGCTGGGTTTCTGCCCTGGGGTACGCAACACTTGGGGGTGGAGCCTGAGGGAAGGGGGCATTGGGGCCGTTTGCAGTTTGGGGGGGGGGGGGGGCTGTGGGAAAAGGGTTTGTGTGTTTCCGCACATAGGTTTGTTCAAATCTGGACAGGTCCCCTTGTTCATTGCTGCAACATGAATTTATGCATCTTTTGCCAAAACCAGACACTTCTGAAGAAGCAGGTTGTGCTGGTGCTGGATGGTGTAGCCGTCGGGGGCCTCAGTCCGGAGCTACTCGAGTTGCGCGATTTGAACATGCTTTGTGCCTGGCAAGCATTCTCACACCGCCGGCCTTCAAGCCCAAGCGTAGTGCGTACGCAGTATAAACTTTCCTTCTCTTTTACCATGAGCGCAGTCTACGCTGTGCTTCTTCATGCTTTCCTTGTGGTGGCTTCGGCTGCTTCGAACGGCTCACAAGCATGCTTGCTTCAACGTGGAGCCCATGCCCAGGCCCTGGAAAAGCAGGTTTCGGAGTTCGCCGAGGTGCAAGAGCCCACAACCCCACCGGTGTCCCTGGTGGCTTCGGGTTCGGAGGCTTCTGAGGCCGCTGAGCAGGTGACACCGCCCAACTGCTCCACCATCGTCATGGGTGATCGATTCATACAGCTGGGGGACTGGCGGCTGGCGGACATGGATGGCAAGCACTTCAGCATCTCGCACGCCAACAAAAAAACTTCAGTCATCTTCAGGAGAGATGGGACGGTGCACAGTGGATGGGGTTCGCAGGACTGGAACAGCTGGTCCCGCTCGACAGGGGAAGCGAAGGGCATCAAATTTGGCTTCCAGTTCATTCAAATTGGCAAGTGGCGAATAGGCGCCGTCGATGAGAAGCACCTCTCCATGGCCCATGAGGATGGTGGGGTGTCGTGCGTCTGGAGGCAAGACGCCACTTTTCACTTTGGGAACCTCCCGTCGTGGTCGACCTTTGACCGATCGGTGGGCGAAGCTGAGGGCATCCGCTTCGGGGACCGCTTCATCCAGATTGGCGACTTTCGCTTTGGAGACTTGGGCGAACAAGGACAGCGCTGGTTTGGCTGGACAAACAGCAAGGGGGAGAACATCCAGCTCTTACGCTCCGATGGCAAGGAGTTTCACGCAGGCGGCGGCTCGATTGCGCAAAGCGAACTGAGAAGGAAATTCGACCTGAACGATCGGCCCCTCTCGGCATCCACATGCAAAAGCCTTCCGGAGATGGCGGAGGGCAGCTCTGAGGGCAACAGCCCCACGGAGGGCAGCGCCGAGGGCAACAGCCCCGCGGAGGGCAGCACCGAGGGCACCAGCCACACGGAGGGCAGCTTCAACACCTCAGTAGCGCCCAACTGCTCCACCATCGTCATGGGTGATCGCTTCATACAGCTGGGGGACTGGCGGCTGGCAGACATGGATGGCAGCCACTTGAGCATCTCGCACGCCAACCAGCTCACGTCAGTCATCTTCAGGAAAGACGGGACGGTGCACAGTGGATTGGGTTCGCAGGACTGGAACAGCTGGTCCCGCTCCAGGTGGGAAGCGAAGGACATCAAGTTTGGCTTCCAGTTCATTCAAATTGGCAAGTGGCGAATAGGCGCCGTCGATGAGAAGCACCTCTCTATGGCTCATGAGGATGGTGGGGTGTCGTGCGTCTGGAGGCAAGACGCCACTTTTCACTTGGGGAACCTCCCGTCGTGGTCGACCTTTGACAGATCGGTGGGCGAAGCTGAGGGCATCCGCTTCGGGGACCGCTTCATCCAGATTGGCGACTTTCGCTTTGGAGACCTGGGCGAACACGGAAAAGACTTTTTCGGCTGGACAAATCGCAAGGGGGAGAACATCCAGCTCTTGCGCTCCGATGGCAAGGAGATTCACCCAGGCGGCTCGTTTGGGCAAAGCGAACTGAGAAGGAAATTCGACCTGAACGATCGGCCCCTCTCGGCATCCACATGCAAGAGCCTTCCGGAGATGGCCGACGGCCCCCAGGCAGCAGAACGTGGTTGCTTGCCGCCGACCACGTTCTCAGGCTCTGCCGATGGTATTCCTGACAACTACAGAGGCTGGTATGATGTGCAGGGCTGTGGTCAGTGCTGGGATTACTGCCGCTGGGCGGGCAATTCCGGCTCAGGGGGAGATCCCCAGTCCAAGCTCAGCTTCAAGCAATCTTGGTGGAGTTGCAGGCTTGCAGGAACCTCTAGTGCCCAGTCCCCAAATGGAACGTTTCAGTCCTGGAACTTCGAAAGATGTTCGGGTGAGGCTGCAATCGCGCCTTCGCCATCGCCTCCACCAACACCCTATGTTCCTGGTGAACCTGGTGCGGCCTGGACAGCTCAGGAAGTCGCAGTTGTGAAAGCAAAGCTCCAAACCATGATGCTGGATCCCGGCAGAGCCATGGCAGAGGCTGACTTCCCGATAGCAGTCTCGCATCGCTATGAACCGAACCCTGCCAAGGTCTTGCGTCTTGCTTTCCATGACTGCATGAAGTACAAAGACGGTACTGGCGGCTGCGACGGCTGTCTGGATTGGTGGGGAGTCGGTCGTCGCTCAGTGTACGCTGACGACGGCCACAACAATGGACTTTACGTCGTTGCTGAGTGTCTCGAGCACATCTACACCTGGAGAGACTACCCGCGCGGTACTCCTCTCCTGAATGTCTCCCTGCAAAACTCCAATAAGTCTCGCGCAGATTTATGGGCCCTCGCAGGCATGGTGGCTGTGGAGGCCGCCATGTACATAAACAACCTGGTTTGTGATGCTGATCACTTTGGTGCTCATGGTCAATTCAATACTCGCTGGAATCATTCAGATTGCAGGGCTACGGCACCACGGAGCTTCGTCTTCAAGACAGGCCGCCGAGACTGTTCCGGACATCCGTTTACGGAGCCTTTCGAGCCTGCACTGAAGGGAATCAAAAGGAGGGGCTACATGACGAGCAAGCGTGAATCCCACCCTGATCCGCATGCAGATGCCAAGAAGACCACAGACTACTTCAAGAAAGACTTTGATTTCAACGAGCGGGAGGTCGTAGCAATCATGGGTGCCCACACGATAGGAACTTTCCATGTGGAAATTGCCGGCTTCAAGTATAACTGGAAATTCTCCCACAGGATGTTCAACAACGGTTACTACCGGCTCCTTTCCCTGAAGCATGACTGGGCCCCAACCGGCATTGCCGTGAACGGCAAGAGGCTCCACTACAAAGACATCCATGGCAACTATCCTGGTGGGTCATGGGTTGCCGAGGTGTGGCATCAACCGCGCGCTGGGGGGGGCCAGGTGAGGCGATGGCAAGTGCTGAAGAAGAAGAGGGCCTGCACTCCTTGCGATGCCCCTCCTGGCGATGGTTGGTGGAGCAAGTCGTCAGTTATTGCACGTGGGCTGAACCACCAAAAATGTTGCACTAACTTGGAAGAGGGGAAGTTCTGCAAATCGGAATGTGTGAAAAGCTTCGATGATGCAGGCATTCATGAATCGATGCTGGCCAGCGACATCGGTTTGCGCTATCCGATTACTCTAGCCAATGACGGGTTGCCGCGAGGCTGTACAGGGGGTATCACAGGCCCCATATACTGCTGGGATAAGATCACCCCCATCACGGGCGACATTGTCGAAGAGTTTGCAGGCAACCAGACTTCCTGGCTGGCGGACTTCTTCGACGCATATGAGAAGATGGTGTCCAATGGCTATGCTGCTGACGAGCTAACTGAGGCCCCTGCGCCTTCAGCGCTCTAAGACTCTAGGACCTCTGAGCGAGATGTACAGGGCCTAAAAAAACTGGCCCCTTATAGCTTGAGAACCCCTTAATGCTTGGAAGCATCGGGATGATCTCAACACTTTTCAAGGCCCCGCTGCGGACAGTCGCCGTAGAAGGTTGAAGTGCCGCACGGACACGCCACGACCACCGAGTTTTTCGACGTGCGCCATTTGATGCGCAAATCCCGAAAGGCTGTTGCCATGACTCGCTCATTCTTCTGCCAGGCACTCGCAGACCCCTTCACCGAAGGCATCTAACTCGGATCTGCAGTTGTTCCATATTCAAAGGCAATTTTTGAGCGGCTTCTCTATGCTCAGGTGAGTGGCCAATGCTGAGAGCTTCGGTGCGGAAGCCACAGGTGGGTCGCTCAGCGTGAGGGCTTCCAGAATCCAAAGCGTGCGTCGAGGAGTAGGCTCATGACGTGGCCACCCATCGCTCTCTTCTTGCGGGGCAGTCGGTTAGGTTTATGGTTTAGGGTTCAGGGTTTTTATTGCGCATCCGTTTGGATGCCAGTACTGTACTTGGCTGGATGAGAATGCCATGTTGCATTTGAAGCGGCACTTGCCTGCGCGATGAACTTCCACTCCTCGTGCGGATTCAGCATTCTCCTCGCCCAGGACAGAGCACTCATAAGGCAGAACAAACGAATTCTGAACATGCATTGCCTACATCGCTCGGAGCTAATGCATGGTAACACATCTGGCGCTTGAAACTTCAAATTATATCAAATTTGTAATCAGCAACCTAATCATATAGGAAGATAATCACAGAATCTTTGCAGCCCTGGGAGCTTGCAGCCCTGGGAGCGGTCGGAGGGGAGAATGTCACAGACATGTCACAGGCATGCTGAGGTCACTCCCATGATGGCTCCTTTTGTCATACTCACAAGACTCGCCTCTCAAGGATGGGGGTGAAAGAGCCTGCCCAGCACCCCCTCCACACATTGCTCCTCTTCCTTTTTTAGGGGAGGGGGGGGATGGGGGGGATGGGAGGGGTCATCTTCCTAGCTTAGAACCGCGGAGGGGTTCCCTTGTATCACTGGACCTACGTAGGTCCATGGCATGAAAGGAGACTTGGGTGGCGGGGCCTCAGCATTCTCATCTTGCCGTCATGCTTTTCATCAACTTTATCGTAAGAACAGCGTCAAGCTTGATAGCCTCCTTCTGATGCTGTGCTTCAGCATGGTTGTGAGAGGAATCCCATGATGCTTGATGGCTGCCTCAAACCTCACTGCTCTGAGCACAGCGTATGTATGTGCACTGCTGCGGCGAACCAGTTCATCAAGCACATTCATAAATTGAGGTGTGCTCGGCAAAACATGTGGGCCCGACGAAGAACTGGCATGATGGACTGTGGAAGCATTCAGCTTGGTGCAGTTGTCGTAACCCATTAGGACAGCTACGAAATCTTTTGTTGTGACAACACAATTGATAGGTCTTTACCCCTCTTGCTGGAAGTTATACAGCTTGCCGAATACATACTTCATGTAGGCGCCAGGTTAATCAACATTCATGGAGCAAAGGTCGCCCAGCCTGTCGTTGTTCCCAAAAGTGTGGCCACGTGTGGGTGGCTGTTTGGTCGGTGCAGTGTTAGTTCGTGTGAACTAGACATAACTAGACCATGCATGGTTCTCATCCTGACCAGATTCACTCGGTGGATTTTTTTTCGCTACACTTGCTGAAAGTAGCCGTCCAGGCTCAACCCAGCCGGAGATCCACAGCGTTGAAAGGCTGAGTCAGTGTTACTTGGTTGTGTCTTGCCCCAAAACCTTTGTATTTATTCTTCTTCCTTTTCGAGCCATGGGGAACCAGGCTTGTTCCTGCGAGCGTGCATCCGCCCGTGACAGCCCAGTGTTCGTGCACAGGTGTATGTTTGGGCTTTCAGTTGTGAAGGCCGGCATTGCCAAACAGCTGTAAGCAAGAGGTGTGGCATGGAGGATGCCATGAAACAGAGCATAGTAAAGTGCAATGCTATACTCTTGTTGTTTTGTACCGTGGCCTTATCATCGAAGAATTTGTGGTGTTGCCTGAAACTACCTGGTTACCTGGCATATGTACATATATATGTACGTATATATGTGTATGTATATGTATACTGTAATTATATATATATATACATATATATATATATGAGACAATTTCAGGTGTCCGATTTCCTGAGAATGGAGGGGCGACCGCTATGCCACCAACAGCTCCAACAGCAAGGGCTTCTGCATGAATGGGTAGCTTCGAGGTGCAACAGGTAGACGTCAAGTTTAGGGTGTAGGGTTTAGGGTTTAGGGTTTTAAGGGGCATTGGACTGGTCAAGGCTGTTTCCCTGAGAAAGTCGGGCGAAGGTACCAAGCATGTTCTTGATCTTTGTGTCCCATCAGTGGCTCGGCCGCTTCTGTCCCGATCCTGATGGCCAGCGCATGCTTCTTCTGCGACAGGCACTTCAAGGGCTGACGCTCGCCACGTTCTTCACGCGGTTAGAGCCAATGATGGCTGCAATGTAGTTTTATTGAGCAGCTTCTTCCCGAGAGTGGGGCCAGGAGCCTGGAATGCTAAACTTCAAATGTTTGCCAGCGCCAGACCCAAAACTGCCCCAAGACCTTCAGACTTGCAGAGCCCAGGAAAGGCCATGACTTGGGATGTTCCCCCTTATACGAAGCTGTTGGTATAAGGGGGGAGCATCCCATGACTCTCTTTAGCCCTCAGCCTAACCAAGGATCGATGGTTCACTGCAGGTCGAGCCCCCGGTCGTCGGTATGATCTATGGCACGGCGGAGGAGCTGTCCCCAGACATGCGCCGGGAAATGGCCAATGGCTACTTGGACCCCGGGCGTGTCGCTGTTTAGGTTATGACGGGGTACTTCATACTTCATCTTTCAGGTTGCAAGCCGAAAGCTGCGGAAATGTAGGTTTGGATCCTGAAGTTCTGAAGGGCAGCCTAGGTTATTTGTTCATGGACTGGTTCTCCATCCCGCAGATCCACGTACGGCAGGAAGGGGTTAGCGAAGAGATGTTGAAGATAAACCAAGAGCTCGCCATTCAGAGCATCCCAGCTTATGTGGAGTCAGCTAGCCTCTTTCTGGTGCTGGCCCCGGAGATGCAACACACCGAGCTCGAAGTGATCTGCAACTACACCTCTTGGCTCTCGCGGGGGTGGTGCAGGTCATGGTCCTGCACAACTTTTTTTGTTGTAGAGCTGCCGTGGCATGACCCTGTTCAAGCATCCGTAGACCTCCAGGCCCTGATAACATTCATCGTGTTCACCATGTTTCACCATGCCCCAAAGTTTGTCGCATGCCGGGCTAGCGAATGAGGAATATGCGAGGAGAAGGGAGGGCGGAGGCAAACAGGGTCACCACTGGGCAACAAGGCTATGTCAGACGATGCGGCTACAAAGAAGATAAAGAGGGAGCCAAGCGAAGTTAACGAGGGGAGAAATAGGGGAGGCGGCATTGGGCAGTGCCACAGCATCCGCCTTTTGGGACTGCCGCGAGGTGTGCTACATTGCCCTAACAATCCCTAACATGAATCTAGACGACCGCCGTGCAATTGGTTGGGTAATTATATTGTCAGGTCTCACGCATGGACCCACATTGAAAACACGGGGTAAGCACGGACAGCAGAAGCAAGCTGGCACAGGCTGGAACTTTGGTGTCGCCTGCTCGCCAACAGAGCAGACACGTCCGTCATCATTTTGCATTCTGCAACGGAAGCGGAGTTCATATTTCAGTTCGACTGGCAGCACAATACAATACGCGATGGTGAGTTTACCGTCGAGTCGGACAGGGACGAAGTGGCGAAGCTTGGCGTAGTGGCTGTGGAAAGCAAGATCCGCCACTTGCAGGCCCATGGACCTATAGATGCATATCGCTTCTACCTGGCACACCGCCCCACACTCCTGGGCTTCGCAGCTCAGGATTGGTCTCTCGAGGAGTTTTTGCAGCACTTCTCGTTTGCAAGCCTGGATGAAGCCCTCACCACTGACAGTGGCATGGATGGCACTCTCTGTGCCCTCTTCGCTGGGGATGCCAACATTCTGCGACTTCTTGTGGAGCATGGTGCCGATGTGAGCCGCCCTTTGCGTGGCTTGAACAAGCTTGGTTATTATGACAGTATGTCACCTCTCGCTGTCGCCACTAGGTCGAACCAACACCCCGTGCTTCTGAAAGCCATGCTGGAGCTTCGTGCAGATGTGAATGCTCGGACGCATGCTGGGGTGACTGCCCTATGCTTGGCCCAGTCCCCGGAGCATGTTCGTATTCTGCTCGAAGCCCGTGCCGACCTGCAGTCGCCAGGTCTCCCCGTGGGCATTACCCCCCTGACTGCAGCGAGCTGCTTTGCCAATGTCGAGACGGTGGCGGCCATGCTCGCTGCCAGGTGCAATGTAAATCCTCCGATGGAGGGTTTTGGTTGGAGTCCACTCCACGGGGCGGCTTTATTTGCCAGGGGAAACAGGCACTCGCCCGAGAAAGCGCGAATGCTACTGGATCACCGCGCGGACGTGAATGCGCGCGCTGTCACATCAGGGCTCTTCAAGTGGGTTTGCCGCTTAGCCCGGGCTCAGACCGCACTTTCCGGCTTCAGTGCCTGTGCAGCAAAGACCCGCTTTTTTGCGAGTTTGGACGGGATTACACCTTTGGGGATGGCGGCCCTGGTTGGGGATCGTCGTCTTACCGAGATGTTCTTAGAGCATGGTGCGGGCGAGATGCCAAACGATCGTGGTGATGGCCCCGAAGATCTGGCGAACGCCAACCAGCATTTCCAGCTGCGCTCAATGCTTGAAGTGGTGTCTGTGACATTGTAAATATTGCAGCCAGTCACTCTCCATCACTGTACAGACCTGTTTTCCCGCACTCGATGTTGAAGCGGTGCATGTGACATGACTACAAAAAATCGTTTTAAAGAAGGCCATTTTTTCAGCACGAATTTGATCTTGGCCCGTGGGCTCTAAAATTTCCTCACGGACCATGCAGCTCGACTTGTGAATAGAGGGCGCTGTATTCATTCCTCGATACGTCTGTGTCTCGTAGCAACTTAGTTTCGCGTGCAGATACATGGCCGCTTGCACGACGCATCGAGAGAAAAGCACAGCCTGCCCTGCCTACACCCTAAACTGCCGGACAACAGCTAAGCTTCAACGCCTGAACCGCAAACCCTTTTCCATCCTTTTCCTTCAACACCATGACTCAAAGCCTTGCTCTGTGAAGTGGAGCAGGAGCATGTCAAGAGCAGTAGAGGGTTGAAACCTGTGCGCTTGATTGGCCCTTGTAAATCGGACTCGTTTTATAGTGCGCTGCAAGATGAACAATGTGGTTGGGCAGGGTCACCGCACGTTCGTGTGGCATTTGGACACATGTAAGTCCCTGACCTTTTCGAGAGCTTTTCAAGAGAACCCGAGCAACCCCTGCATTTTGTTCCAGTGTTGGCGCTTCCTTGAACTCGCTCATTTGCCGTTTCTGCTACATGGTGCCGTGCTTATTCCAAGCTTCCGCGTACTGCGTAGGGGACCTGGCATCAAGGCAGCAACAGAAGCTTGACGACAAGTCTTGTCACAAGCAGCATCTTCAGGAATTCAACGGCAAGTCGTGAATATTTTGTCGGTCGCTTGATGTTGCAGGTCTCTTCCAGCAAATGCCAAAATGCCGTTGGCATGACGCGATGCTGCTGCAACATGTTTCTAGATTCGCCTAGGTTGGAATGGAACTGATTGCAGACAGTGGCACAATTTTGCATATATGGTCCGCAGCATCTTGGCACCATGGAGTCGGACGAGGCAGTGGAGTCCTAGCGTGTCCTCTCCACGTAAGGATGCAGGTTGCCAGGATCTGCTGCAGAACCCTAAAACGCCCAGTTGGTGCAACGGCTGGAACCCTAAAACCCTCATCGCATTCATCTGCCCCGGTCACGGCCAGGCCTTGGCTCGCCGTCTGCAAAGGGAGGAGGCCAGCAGAACGTTTCGGACAGGCTGCTAAGAACAGTTTCGCATCCCAGACCCCGCGCACCCTCTGACTTGTTGAGCCGGCCAGGAAGTTGCCTTGGCCGAAGGAGGTATCCAGCACTGTTTCGCGCTGCTTCGTTGCCATCTTTGCTGACATGGCATGATCTACGGCATGCGTTTAGGATGCTTTAGGTGGCAGTGAGCCTTTAGCCCGTGTGCAATCTCCGAGTCCCAAAACGACATGTCTACGTCGCCGCAGCTGTTGCTTACCTCCCCGCAAGCAGGCCTCACCACCATCTCCAAAATCTCCATGACACACGGCACGGTACTGCTTGCAATGAACCTGCGCATCCATGGTTGCGCTCAAGCCCTCTTGCTGGTTCGGGGCTTTTGCTTTATATGGCTTTGCGGAAGAGTGCGCCTCCCAAAGCCACTAGCGCCTCCGACGAGCATGCGCTTCCTTAGGCCCTGACCCCGCCGCCCAGAACCCTAAACCCAAGATTTCCCGGGCTTCTACTGCGGTGCAGAAGGCTGGGAGTAGGGAACTTGAGGGTTCAAGGCTCAGCCTGGCTTAGTTCAGGGGGGGCGAAATTAGGTTTCTAAGGGCTCCTCCTAATTTAGCGCCTCGAAAGATGCGGCCCAGCCAGCCAGCCGCCAATCGGGTGGCGGTCACCATCCAGCAGGTGCCGCAGCGCCTTGGGCCGCAGTTTCACGACTTCAGGCCATCTCGAGGTTTTTGTGTTGCTTGGAGGTTCGGGGTTGGTTATGGGAAGGTTGTAGAAGTCCGGTTGTAGCATGTTTTTCAAGGATATGGGGTTGAAAGGGACTTGTTAGGGAGAGATCTGTGCTGAGGCGTGCTTATTATGGGAATGAAGATGCCTAGGCGTTTGGGTTTTTGGAGTGTAGGGCTTGGGTTCAGGATTTTGTGCTCAAGGCCTTCTGCTTTAAAGCGTTGTCAAGGTCCACAACACCAAAACTCGGGCCTTAATCTCGACACCCTCCGACTCATCTGAGGCCTGGCAAGCTCCTGCAGAGCTCCTCTGTTCGATCAGGCTTTAGAGTGGTATGGGCCGGGGGCAGGGGGCTGTTAGGTGTTAGGGCTTTAAGGGGCTCTTGTAGGGTTCTAGGGCCGTCTGGGTACTAGGGTTCAGGGGGGAACAGGGGGGAATAGGAGTTCGTTCAGAGTCAGCCGGAACCCAAAGCCTTCAAGCTCTGACCCCTAAACTCCCAACCCGACCTCCAACCCCAAACCGTCTGAGGCACAAGACATAAGCGGGCCATCCGGAATGGTACAAGGTGTGTGGCCACATAGCCCTGCACCCCGCCAAAGTCTCCACCCTTCTAAACCCTCGACCCCAAACCCGCTAAAGCTCTCAAGCTCATCCCTAAGTCTCGTCAAGGCCTCTTTGGCGTGAGCAATGCAGCACGAAAGGGGTCAAACCTTCACTCGGAAACAAGTGCCTCCGGACCCCCCGGAGTAATGCAGCACGAAAGGGGTCAAACCTTCATTCGGAAACAAGTGCGTCCGGACATGCCAGGAGCAATCCAGCACGAAGGGGGTCAAACCTTCATGCGGAAACAAGTGCGTCCGGACCCCCCGGAGTAATGCAGCACGAAAGGGGTCAAACCTTCACTCGGAAACAAGTGCGTCCGGACCCCCGGAGCAATGCAGCACGAAAAAGTGGTCAAACCTTCATTCGGAAACAAGTGCGTCCGGACCCCCCCAGGAGCAATGCAGCACGAAAGGGGTCAAACCTTCATTCGGAAACAAGTGCGTCCGGACCCCCCCGGAGTAATGCAGCACGAAAAAGTGGTCAAACCTTCATTCGGAAACAAGTGCGTCCGGACCCCCCCGGAGTAATGCAGCACGAAAGGGGTCAAACCTTCACTCGGAAACAAGTGCGTCTGCAGCACGAAAGGGGTCAAACCTTCACTCGGAAACAAGTGCGTCCGGACCCCCCCGGAGTAATGCAGCACGAAAGGGGTCAAACCTTCACTCAGAAACAAGTGCGTCCGGACCCCCCCGGAGCAATGCAGCACGAAAGGGGTCAAACCTTCCCTCGGAAACAAGTGCGTCCGGACCCCTCCGGAGTAATGCAGCACGAAAGGGGTCAAACCTTCACTCGGAAACAAGTGCGTCCGGACCCCCCCGGAGTAATGCAGCACGAAAGGGGTCAAACCTTCACTCGGAAACAAGTGCGTCCGGACCCCCCCGGAGTAATGCAGCACGAAAGGGGTCAAACCTTCACTCGGAAACAAGTGCGTCCGGACCCCCCCGGAGTAATGCAGCACGAAAGGGGTCAAACCTTCACTCGGAAACAAGTGCGTCCGGACCCCCCCGGAGTAATGCAGCACGAAAGGGGTCAAACCTTCACTCGGAAACAAGTGCGTCCGGACCCCCCGGAGTAATGCAGCACGAAAGGGGTCAAACCTTCCCTCGGAAACAAGTGCGTCCGGACCCCCCCGGACTAATGCAGCACGAAAGGGGTCAATCCTTCACTCGGAAACAAGTGTGTCCGGACCCCCCCGGAGTAATGCAGCACGAAAGGGGTCAAACCTTCACTCGGAAACAAGTGCGTCCGGACCCCCCCGGAGTAATGCAGCACGAAAGGGGTCAAACCTTCACTCGGAAACAAGTGCGTCCGGACCCCCCAGGAGCAACGCAGCACGAAAGGGGTCAAACCTTCACTCGGCAGGGCAGAGCCCTCGCAGCCCACCTCGTGCGGTGGTCGCGGCGACGGGGCAGAGCCCACCCCGCGCGGCGCTTGTGGCGGCAGGGCAGAGCCCTCGCAGCCTTGGCCAGGTCAGGGGCGGGCTTCGGGCTTATTAAAGGGTTTGGGGTTGTGTTTGGTTTTTTGGGCTTCGTCAAGGTGTGTAGTGTTTTGTGTGTAGGGTTTGTTCTGCTCGAACAATTTTCATCTGGCTTCGTTCCTTTGAGACTGCGCAGCCGAAAGGCACGAACAGCGGTGTGTTTAGGCCGCCTGGTTCTTAGTAGGGAATGAGGGAATTAGGGCCCTCTATATGCCCTTTAAGGGAGTATAGGTACCTCATTCCCTCTTTCCCTACTAAGAACCAGCCAGTACGGTTGCAAAGGTGATGCACGCAAGAACGGATCTCAAATTGCAGGTTAAGACGCAAGCCCCGGAGCACAGGAAGCCAGCATGCCCCACCCCAAACCCTAAACCCTAAACCCTAAACCCTAAACCCTAAACCCTAAACCCTAAACCCTAAACCCTAAACCCTAAACCCGAAACCCGAAACCCTAAACCCTAAACCCTAAACCCTAAACCCTAAACCCTAAACCCTAAACCCTAAACCCTGAAACCTGAACCCTGAACCCTGAACCCTAAACCCTAAACCCTTGTCGTGCTTAGCTCAAAAACAAAAGCCCGAACCCCCAAGAAAACCGTCGACCCGACCCAAAAACTCCCGTCGCGGCAGTCGCAGAAGCCCAGCTCTGTGGCGGCCCCCAGCCCACGAAGCCCTGGGCAGATTCGACAGGCTCTCCGATTCTGGCATCCGTGCTGACCCCCCACCCAGGTAACTATCCAGAAGGGTTTGGGGGAGGTTTGGGGTTGTAGAGGGTATCGCCTCCACCCCCTTGCTGAAGCAAAAAGGGCTTTTGCACCGTGGAAAGTGGTGAAAATCACACAGCGCCAATGCAAGTTCCATGAACTGTTTCAGACGAGTCTGTTCTTGCGCTGGCTGGCGTTTGGGTCGATGAGAACCGCTCGTACGGGCTTTCGAACCATCGCCAATCCCATTCTCATCTTCATGTAGTGCATCCTACCCTAAACCCTGAACCCTAAACCCCAAACCCTAAACCCTAAACCCTAAACCCCAAACCCCTACAGCCCTTAGTTTTTGAAGCGCGAAGCCCGAAGCAGGCTGTCAGCGGCCAGAGCCCTCGCAGCCCCGGCCAAAACCACCGGCCCGTGGTATCCGGTGTGGGGCAAAGCCCGGCGCCGAGCAAAAGTCTTTCGGGCTTAGGGTTGTTTTGGGGTTTCGGGTTTCGGGTTTCGGGTTTCGGGTTTCGGGTTTAGGGTTTAGGGTTTAGGGGGGGTTTTGAGGGGTGAGGGTTTAGGATTTGGGGGGTCTAGGGGTTTTTCGGGGTTAGGGCTTTGGGCTTGAGCTTGGGGCGAGGGTCTGTGGGTTGAGGGGCTTGAGGCCTGAGGTTTGAGGGGTTTTGTGTTTTGGGCTTGAGCGCTGAGGGTTCGAAGATCTGGGGTTTTGCCTGGGGTGTGTGTTTCGGGTTTGGGGTTTGCGAGTTTGAGGGTTTGGGGTTGAGGGCCTGGGTCTGGGTTCGGAGCGTCTGTAGGCATCCGCAAGACGCCCCCAACCCCTCGAAGAAGCGACCCCAAGTACCGAAAGGCTGGTCGCCAGCACCAATGGCATATAATTGTTTACGCCAAACGAACATTCATCAAGTTCAGTGCAAGTACTTCAAACAATCCGCACGAGCACAGTGTGCAAGTCAGTAGCAAGCTCAAAAGCAAAGAGCGCAACAAGCATTCCATTTGAACAGAATCACGAACATTCAAAGCATGTGCCAACTTATTTTGCAGGCTTCTGCCTTTGACCCTAACTAAGCCTAAACCCTAAACCCTAAACCCTAAGCCCTAAACCCTAAACCCTAAACCCTAAATCCTAACCCTAAACGCAGTTGTCGAAATCCGAAAGCTGGAGCTTCCTCTCGGCTTTGGGAGGTTCCCAGAACGCAGTGGCCCCGCGCCCCATCGTGCCAGCCAGCCTCGGGCCAAGGCCCGTCGTTGCGGCGCGCCCTGGAGCGAAATAAAGTATGATTCTTGGTGCTTGATGTTTCCTGGCTCTCAGGAGGGACACAGGCATAGGGATCAGAGAGAGAGAGAGAGAGATACAAAAAAAAAAAAAAATATATATGTAAAGATAGATAGAGATATATATATATATAGTTACATTTATCCATAGATCTGTAATAGGACCTCGTTCCTGAACTCCACCACAAGAACCGGCAAGCTTACCCCTTTCGCGAAATCGACAGCACTTGGACCCAAACGCCTGCGGAACCTGTGACCCCGACATACTCAGCAAGGCACTCAGACTCGCAACCATTACATCCCAAAGCCAACAGCAAGTCGAGCCCCAAAAGGCCTCAAGGCCCTTAAGCATCCCTTAGCACCCAAGCCGAACAGCCCCAGGCGGCAGGGGCCGTCGTCTTTTGTCCAGCATGGTGGGACCGTGCAGCGTGCCTTTGGAGTCAGTTTGGCAGCTTTGGGTGCGTAGAGGGGTTGGTGTTTGGGGGAGATGGACAGGGCTGGATCATTGCTCGAAGCACACCCAAAGCCCCAAACTCAAAACGGCTTTCCCGAAGCCTCAAGGGCGGCCTTGACACCCCATGAGGTGCCTCAGGCAGCTTTGCGCCACCTATCCGCGTGGCCTCTCCACAGGCCTGTGCAATCTTCTTGAGAAATCTTTCAGAAAATCAGGGGCTTAGAGGCCCTCGCCCCGAACCCTGAGCACCACCTTGAACCTGGCAAACCCTGAGCTCTGATCCCCAGACCCTGTACATTGCGCCCAAATCGTAGGTCACCGGCGTGGTGCCCAATCTGCAGCCGAGCCAGCCGGTGCCTTCTTCAATTCAGAGCCTTCGGTTCAGGGTTTCTTGGAGTTTCAGAGCCTTGCAGCCGCAATAATCCCCAAGCCCTTGAAACCGCAGCAGATCCATTGAAAATGCTTTTCAGGCCTCCGTTTCCCGGGGCGCAGGTGGTTTCTGGTGTAAGAATTGGTAACAGAGTGCGAGTCATGGTTCGAGGTTTTGAGGGGTCCAGGTGTGGGATCTGTCGGGGTGAACTGTTGTGTGTTTTTTGTGTTTTGTGGCCCTATTCTGTGACAAGTGCGTTAGGCATGTAAACCCTATGCGCAAGGGCCCTCATGATCCTTCATCCCTTTACCCTGACCTAGCTGGGAAGGAAACCCTACAGCCCAAAGCCTCCAGCCCATACAGCCTCAAGCCCGAAACTTTGGGAGTTTAGCCTTGAAAACATCCCAAACCCGAAAGCTGCAATCCCAGGTGGCGAAGAGTCCCTCCAAGCTCAGCCCGGCTGCTGCAAGGAGCGAAGGCAGCGGAGTGAGAGTGTCGTAGAGAGACGGAGAGATGTGACAGAGAGAGAGAGACCCTCTGGGGCAGCTCTCCCTTCGGGGGGGGGCTAAGCGTGCAGAGAGAGAGAGAGAGAGACCAAGAGGGTTTGGGTTTGGCCACTCGGCTGAGCATCATGGGGGCACAGGCAGCGTGTATGGTGGACGGTCACATCACTCCAGAAAGTAAACCCCTGCCTGTGAACTTGGCTGTTGGCTTAGGCCCACATCCGAACCATTTTCTCTCATAAACCCTAAGCCCGACACCCTCTACGCCCTTAAAGCCCTTTTCTTTGAGCCCTACACCCTACAGGCCCTTAAACCCTCCAAAGCAGGTAAACCCTATAAGTCCTAAGTGCTGAACCCCCACCCGAAAAGTGGGAAGACTTGTGCTCCATCAGGTCCCGCCAGGGTACCCGGGCAGAGGCTGCAGTGGCCGCAATGTTTGGAGTTTTCTTGCGAGCTTTTGGCGTTTTGAAGGGTTCAGGTTCTGGCGGATCGTTCAGGTGTGAGCTGTTTGTGCTTTTTTGTTTCACACAGACAGTGGTGTCTTGCTTCGCTGGCCTTTGTGTGCTCGATCTTGTGGACCACCATGTCTTCCGTAGAGTGTAGCATGAGCGCAGTTGACCTTTCGGGTTGCATGCAGTCCCAGGGCAGGCTCAGAAGGTTGGGCTATCACGTCAAAGGGCCAGGGTCGTACATTTGCAAAAAAGGGGGTGGCGGCCAGAGCGTTCTCTTGAGCTGCAGGCCGTCTAACTAGCTTTGTTGTCGTCACAAAGTCTGAGTTGTCGACCCGGGTCTGTCTCGGAAAGCTTTGCTGAGGTCGATGACGACAACGTCAACACTACGCACCAGCCGCTGTGTCCACAAGAGGGCCGAACAGGGACGTTTGAGCGTCTTAGGGCTACTAAGGGCCCCTGAAGCCCTGATGCTCAACACATGAAAGGCGTCCTAAGCCCAGTTACCCTATCCATGGACCCTGATCTCTGGTTCCTAACGCCTGAAACCCTGAGAAGCCTGCGCACAACAGCCGGCAAGACATTGAACGTACTTCCAAGAGATGAGCCCAGGCTCCGACATGACGCAGGCGGTTCTGGCTTTCGCTTGGCTTTTCGAATGGTTTTCAGGGTTTAGGGTTGAGGGTTTAGGGTTTTTGTTCAGTTAAATTTTGGTTGGGCTTACAGTTTCTAGGTTCACGGGGCTCCGGGAGGTCTAGGGTTTGGGGTTCAAGGCGTTGAGGGAGTCTAAGGCTTCGGGGTGTTGGGGCGCGGTTGTAGGCTTCACAAGCGGCAGGTTGGTCAGTTCCTTGGAATGTAGAGCAGCTGAGGCCTGAACTTTGAAGAGCTTAAACACCTTGAGAACCCTGAGCAAACCTCCAAGGAGCTGCAATGACCCCTAAGCCCTGAAAAAGGCCACCCCCCCCTCGCCCCCCTGGCAAAACAAATGGAGAAAACATCCCTAAACCCTAAACCCCCTAAACCCCCTAAACCCCCTAAACCCCCTAAACCCCCTAAACCCCCTAAACCCCCTAAAGCCCCTAAACCCCCTAAACCCCCTAAACCCCCTGAACCCCCTGAACCCCCTAAACCCCAGCCGCCAGGAAACCTCTGCGAAGGAGGTGCAGAGTTCCGCGCCGAGCGATCGGCCGTCCGGCAGCTTGCCCTCATTGCGGCCTGGGTTTGGGGGGGTTTACGAAAATGGGGGGACCCCTTAAGGGACCCCTTAAGATAGCCCCCCCAAATAGTAGGATTCCCTTAGAAGGTATAATTTCGGAAGCCCCCATTTGGGATGGAATGTCAGTGATTGGTGGATGGGGCGAGTTTGGCGAACCACCGCAACCTAAAACCGTACAAAAGGTGCTTGCGAGGGGAACTGCGAGAATGTCGAGAGACCAAGCCCGAAACCTCACTTGCCCAAGAAAACCGTTCAAAAGCCGGCCCATGCACCCCGGCAGAGCGCAACCCGAAGCTGGGAGGTCCCCTCAAAGAAAGCCCGGGTTGAGAGGACTTCGAGTTGAGGAAGCCTTGAGGAAGCTTGGGCTGTTGGGGGGACTTCGAAGATCTTGGCGCCCCGAGTCGTGCGAAACACGCAGCAGCTGGGCACCGTCAGCCTGCGGCCGCAGTCGACGCCTCAAGGCCCGTGGCTTGGGGTTGACTTTGCTCGAATGGGGTGGCCCTAAGATACTTCTTCAAGGGCTAGACAGGGAGGGGGGCATGGACATAAGGCACGTCGTTCTCTCAGTTCCAGATAAGAATGAGTAAGTTTACGGTTTAAGTTTTCGGGTATAGAGGGCAAAGGGGTTGCTGGATGGGTAGTTTTCTTTGAGTCATTCTTGTTCTTGCTTTGTGTCCAGGTACATTTTTCGTTTTTTGGTAGGCTTGTCACTTCTCTAAGTGCGGACCCCCCTAAACCCTAAAGGCTAAACGCTAAACCCTAACCCCTAAGCCCTAAATCCTAAACCCTAAACCCTAAACCCTAAATCCCATGAACTGCCCAACGCCCTGGCCTTGATGCCACAACTCTGAAACCCTGCTTGCGGGAGTTGATCTAAGGGCCTAAGCTATAGGCACTTCATAACTCCCTGTATATATAAATATATACACATAGATTATGTGTCTACATATATACATGTGCGTCTACATTCTTTTAGTTTTTAGGAGCAGAAGGACGCATAGTTTAGCTCAGCCCCGCGAAATAGCACAGAAATCCTTTTGCAGGCTCCCGGCGACTTCAGACGCGACGGAAGTCTCGGGGCCCCTTGCACCAAAAAACGATTCCGGGTTGGAAAACCCCAAGCCCTGAACCCCAAACCCTCCCTGGAGAAGATTTTACCTGAGCTTAGGGGCTTCAGGTTTCTTTCTGAAGGATCACCAGGCACTGCAGTCCTAGGCCTAAACTTGCTGGCACAAAGTGGGGGAGTAGAGGAGTGGGTCCTCTAGTAAAGCCTGTTAAGCTCCCACCTATGCCGCCAACACATTTCTATGTATTGTTTCTTTTTTTTTCGTTGTTTGGGGGTCCGAACTGCCCCAGGTGCCAAAAGCTCAGATGTCTGCGACTTCCTGCGCGACTCCCTGTCCACGGGGCTGCACGAAAGAACTGGGAGAGTGGGCGGGGTGGGGGTGCGGGTCTGGATACCCCAACACTTTCGAACCCTGCGGCCCTGAATCCTCCATCCTTTACATGCCAGATTCTAACTCCTAACTCCAAGGCCCACAAACCCTGGAACTGTCATCCCCATTAAGGCCTGTTAGTGTAGGGGGGAACATCCCAACCTAAACCCCCCAAGCCTCAAATCCTAAGCCCCCCCCAAGGCCCAAGAGCCCCTCCCAGGCGCAGAGATCCGATGTCCGTGCAGGCGGGGCCTGACCCTTGCAGTCTTTTTTGGGCATAGGGTGTAGGGTTTAGGGTTTAGGGTTTAGGTAGGGTGTTTGGGGTCTAGGGCCCAATACAACAGCATAGCAATATGCTCATGCAACAACACAACAGAATGGCACAATACCACAACAATCTAACAACACAATGCAATATGGTGAACTGCTAAGTTGCGAAGCCTCCGAATTTTAAGGTCCAGCGCTAAGCCCTAAACTGTACTTGGCTTGAGGGGTTGAGGGGAGTGCCATGGTTGAGAGACTTTGGTATAGGCTTTGGGCTCTGGGGTTTCGGTCTGAGTCGCTTTCGGGCAGGGGCTGGTTGAATAACACCTCTTCATAGTCCCTGACTGTGGGGGTTCGTTCGTGTTCATGGCTTGGAATGCCTGCGTTGAGGCCCAGCTTACAGATGCAGATCTGTCAGAGCTGCCTGGTGGCAGTGAGAGGTTCCTGATGTCTCCGAAGGGTCGCAGCAAAATTTGGTTGGACGCTGCGTGCGCGGGGCCCTTTCATCCTTTGAAAGACTATAAACCCCGCTTGAAATATTTTGGGCTACCCGTGAACCCTAAACCCTAAGTTGCAGTTTGGAATCGCCCCAGAGAACGACAGCTCTCAGGATCGTTTCCTTGATGGACTACTACGAGTTTGCAGCATGCTTGCACCAGGGACAGCTTTGCAGCCTTTCGCTTGGTTTAGGGCTCAAGATTGAGGCTGCTGCCCATTGTATACATGTAGCGGCAATGATTGGGGCGTTCATGAGGGTCCTAACGAAGGGACCCCTGCCAAAAAAAGGTGAAACCACAAAAAAAAGCAAGAACACCTAAACCTGAGCTACTAAAAAGCCCAAAACCATGGCAAAAGCCCTAAGCTTCGACCCTCAACCCGAGCCAAGGATCCGGAATCCTCCGACGATGAGGGCCTCTTGTCAAGATGTGGGTTTACAAAAATAGGGGTACCCTTTTTGGGGGTTCCTATAATAAGGATCGTATTATTTGTGGGTATATTCACTTTACCCCCCCATTTGGGGAAATGCCCATATCTGGGACACCCATAAAGAGCAGCCGCTCAGAAAGCTCCCTATATAGTGAAGGGTTTGGGGGCTTGGGGTCTTAGGGCCTCAGGGTTAGCCACACCTATACCCTCAGTTCTAAACCCTCAGCCCCTGTAAACTTTGGGATACCTTTTGTCCCCACGCAGACGGCGTGGGCAGCGCCAGCGGATACATCTTCGTTGTGGACAATGGCAGCTTCGAGGCGCGCGTGTTTAGGGGTTCTTCTGGGAGTGCGGGGACAAGCCCTCCGGAACATCCTAACTTAAGACAGGGGAAGCTTTCCGGGGTCTGGGCTTCAAATGTAGGGTTTAGGCTTAAGCAGGGCTTTCGCTTTGCTTCGTGGGTCACTCCAACCCGAGACCCGAAGCCCCAAGCGTTGAAGCGCTGCGGCCCCTCATGACCCCATGCTGCTCGGCTCTTTTTGGGGAGCCCCTCTTTTGAAAGGTCCCCCCCCCCCCCCCCCCCCGGCAAAGAGCCTCTGGACCTCCAGAAGCTGTTCCGCGTAGGTTCGGATCGATGGAACCCCGGTGGCCACCCTCGCGGCCTGCTCTATTTTTGAAGGGCTTGTAGGGTTCAGGGTGCATGTGCTCCATCGATAAATTCTATCTAATCTCTCTGGCCACATACTACTGTATATACATATATATATATATGTGTAAGCATGATCGAGAGGGTAATCATGTCCCTGTTGCATCATACAACAGCCTGCTTGTCACCGTCATCGCAAAAACAAGTTCAATTTACTGGCAGTCCTAGAGGGAGCCGGTACGGCCTCGAGAGCTTCTAGGATGTAGGGCTGCAGCGGTTGAGTTGAGAAGGTACCAAGAGTTGTTAATCGCCACCCATGCAAGAGCCCTAAACTCCAAACCCTGAACCCGAAACCCTGAACCCAAACCTTGCACCCGAAACCCCGAACCCTAAACCCTAAACCCTAACCCAACCCAAACCCTAAACCCTAAACCCTAAACCCTAAACCCTAAACCCTAAACCCTAAACCCTAAACCGTAAACCCAAGCCCCAAACCCCAACTCGAAAGCAGGGCCGGGGCTGCACCTTTGGCTGGAACTTCCTGATGAAGCAGCCGCAGCTCCTTGGCCTCCCTAAACCCTAAACCCGAAACCCCAAACTCTAAACCCTAAACCCAAAACCCGAAACCCTAACCCTAAACCTTTAAACCTAAGCTAAAGCCTAGGCTCTACCTAAGCCCCTAACACCCCAAACTGATTCCATTGTGGGGTTTAGGCGGGCTTTGCATGAATCATTGTCAGGATTATCTCCTTGGAGCCGCTGTGTCGACTTGTATTCTTTGCATTAATTTACGTACCATCAGATATACTTGTTATACATGTTATTCTTGGGAGTTACGAATTTCATGTACAACCCAAAGAAACACATATAGTTCTTATTGTTACCAGTATCATGCTTCTAGGCAAGGGTGGTATGGCGAAAGCCACCCCAGAAAGTAATTTGGATCCTCTGTCGACACCGGGGCGTGGGGGGGGGGGGGGGCAGCGGCCTGAACCCGCAATCCTACAGACCCTTTGGTACCCTAAAGCCATCAACCCCAAACCCCTTCTGAAGCCCCCTTAAAAGCATCCTTTCCGTATCACCAGCCCAGGTCCTCCTCCGTGTACCCCTGCGTGAAGTCGGGTCTCTGGGGCGCCGACGGTCAGAAGATACAGCAGATGCTCACCGAGCGCATCCGGGTGGGACTTGGGTGTTTTTGTTCCCGGGAGTTTTTTGGGTTTGGGACGCAGGGACTTAGGGTTTTGGTTTCCTGTAGCTCAAGGGTCCGGTGGGCTTCTCCGAGACACAGGAGGGTTGAGGGCTTATTCTACACTTACAGGTTCGGGCCCCCTGGAAGTATCTCGAGCTTGGGTTCACGGTCTGGAGTTGTTTTCGCAACGCTGCAGGAGAGACTGCGAGAGAATCGCAAGCTTCTGGAGCCTCCGCTGCAGTGGCCCAAAGCCACGAAAGGCCCCCCCAAGACCTTTTTCTGTAAGGGTTTTACTCTTAGTTTCCTTCAAGCAAGGTCGTCTGGTGAGTGCTCTGGGGTGGTCAGCCTAAGAGACTTAGGTTGATAGATTTGGGGGCCTTGAATACAGAAGGCCCTGAATCCAGAAGCCACGCTCCGGCGTGTGAGTTTCATGCTTTTCTGCACCATGGCAAGGATTGCGTCTCCTTCTTCAAGGGCCTGCCGCCCCGACAAATCGAGCTGCTGAGCTCAGCCATCGTGGAGGAGTCTGCGCCTGGGCAAAGCAGAGGTCGGGGGACTCTTGGTATGGATCACTTTGCAGTCGGAGCTCGGAGGGTTTCATAGGCAGCGACCTGAATAGTCTGCAGTTTGGTCCGGTGTGTGGACAACCAAGTTGAGGCCAAGCTGGCAGAACCATTCCGGAATCCCAATCGCCACCCGCCCACCCACACAACCTCTATATGACTCTGAATTGCCAAATACATCTCCGACCAAAAGCCCGAGACGCCGCGCAGACCAAGCTTTCTTCAAGGTTGAGACCTCGATTGTTGGGGTTGGAACTTAAAGGTGTGCGGGAAAGGGGTTGCAGCTTTGCCGTTCCAAGCGGTGACTGGCATGCGACAGGATGCCGAGAGCGCCTGAATTCTGAACCCCTAAGCCCTAAACCCTAAATCCTGATCCCTAAGCCCTGAATGCCAGTTCTCAGTTCCAGGCCCCTGCACTCAACTGGGACCTTAGCAACTTAAGCACCCTTTTTGCGGGTTCAGGGTTGAGGGTTCATTACTTAGCGGAGACCACTACCGTTTTCCAACCAATCCCCACTCCTTAGCACCCAAACCATTACAAACTAGGCCTCAACCTTCAACTCACCAAAATACAATGGAACCACGCATGCCCCCCATGAAAAACAGCATACTCAACCCCATATCATGCCCCACCCGATAGAAAACCCACAATCCAACCCGAAACCCCTATCCGTAAAAAATGGACATGGTCTTCTCGAAGAGAACATCTTCAATAGGAAAAAACTTTAGTAGGGATAAGGCAGCAAAATCACTTCCGTCGGCATCATTCTGGGCCGTGTTAGATGCGTTTGACCGGAACTTCTCTAATCCTAAACCCGGCCCTAAACCCTAAACCCTAAACCCTAAACCCTAAACCCTAAACCCTAAACCCTAAACCCTAAACCCTAATCTCTTCACACTCCCGAGCAAGCCGAAGCAAAAGCAAGCCCCAGGTGCCGGCTGGTCGGAAGGCGCTTGCATTTGGGGCTTCGGGGTTCGGGGTTGGGGTCTGGGGTTTAGGGTTTGGGGTTTGGGGTTTAGGGTTGAGGGTTGGTTTGGGGTTTGGGGTTTAGGGTTGAGGGTTGGTTTGGGGTTTGGGGTTTAGGGTTGAGGGTTAGCCAGGCGGGGGGGCAGGCAGGGGGGGAGCACCGGTTAGGGTCTGCACTCCTTTTCAGGAAGGCTTTGTGAAGGTTTCTTGAAAGGGTTTGTGAAACTGTCATCCAGGTCTCGTTCCTTTGCTTTGTATTTCTCTTCTCCCTTTTGTCGTGCATTTTGTCGAATGAAAAAAGGCACAAAGTTAGTTTCGAGTGAACGTGTCAGCAAATGCCTTAAGAGTTAATATCGCTTTGCGTTTTGGTCTCCTGTTCTTGTTGGGCAACTTGTTTCCGGAGTGACGCCGCATGAATAAAGTGAGCACGCAAGCCGACCATTCAGAAAACGGCTTGTTCCTGCTTCATGCCCCAAACCCTAAACCCACTCAACCCGGAAACCGAACCTGGCACACCCTAGACTCTGCATCCTCAAACTTTGACCCTCGAAAGCAAAAGAACCCGAAGGCCATTCCCCAAATGGCCGGCCGGGTGTTGTTCTCAGGTGGTGGCCAAGGGCGAACTCTCCACAGCCCTCTACTTTATTCGAAGAGGCGGCCCCTGCGGTTCCGGGTCTGGGGTTTAAGGTTACTCAGCCCCAAAAAGCGCCTCAAAACCCTAAGCCTTGAACCGGAACCCTTGCGTCCAGGCTCGTGCGCCCTCCGCCGTCTCTCATATTCAGGGGCTCCTAGGTGAAGGATGTTTGACCCGTTTAGAGCCTGAAGTTTTGGCTTGTTGGGATAGGCGTCATGTATTGGTTCATATCGGTGAGGGTTCAGGGCCCGACTTGCTAGTAGTGCGTTGAGAGTTCAAGTTGGGGTTTCGGTGATGCACAGGGGCCAACGGTCCGAGGCTCTTTTGCTGCAAGCTTCCCCCCCCCTTTTCCAGGATTTTGTACGGTTCAGGGCTTGAGATGACAAAATTCTGCATCAGGATTGTCGGGTGAATTCAGCGGGGTTGTCCAGTGTATAGGGGGCCCAAGCATCCATTCACTTTGTGATCTCTCCCCTACCATGCCCATTTTAAGTCCCCCAACGACGCTGAAGCGGCTTTCTCGTCCGGGGCCCCAGGGCAGCTGCGCGTCGAGGAGAATCAGAAGGAGCTCGGCCCAGGCGTGCAGGGTTGCGGGGGCCAGGCTGAGGAAACAGGCTCAAGGTATCGAAGTTGTGCGGCAGCCCGCTTGGGCTCGAACTCTTGGGGGAGGTTACGCCGAAGCGGTGTGGGTACTCTCGCAGGTGACTACTTCGGAGAGCGGGCGCTGCTTCACCGGGCCCCGCGTTCAGCCACGGTGGTGGCCGAGACCGAGGCAATCCTGGGTGGGTTTAGGGTGTGGTGGGTGCAGTCTGCAGGTTGAAAGTTTGGGAATCATGCCAATCTCTACTAGCCAACGTAGTCTTCAAGGGCCCGTTTATAATGCTCCTCCCGTCTTCTATGAGTGCCGAGCTATAGAGACTGGAAGGTTCAGACGCGGGGAACTCTGCCATCCTGCCCCCTGTGTTTTGCTCGCGGTGGTGGAGAGGGTGACAGGGGGTGTTTGCAAAGGTTGTCAGACGCCCTCAGAATTGGAGCTCAAGATCCAGGCGAAAGCGGAAACGCCTTCGATGGTGAGTTCAGAGAGACGTGCGTGATAGAGAGTACGCCGGAATGCGGAATGGTTTGCTCTGCACTGCTGGAACGGCTTGCTCTTTGCTGTACTGCGTACCTGCAAAAAAGAACCACGATGCTTCGCGACGGAATGACTTTCTCTTTCCTTTTGCCAACTGTCCAAAGCCAAGCCCTCAACCTGGAAACCTGCAAGCCTACAAGCCCATGTACCTGGCAGCGCAGGCAGAACTGCTGCGGCTTGAGGCAGAGAATTTGCGCCTTGCCGCAGTCAAGGGTTCCCAGGCAACGCCTTCAACCCTAAACCCTACACCCTACTCGTAAGACTGAAGAATGACCGCTGGGTTTGTCCGGGCAGATATCGGCACGACCACGACTGAAAGGCTCCTTAGAGTTCGGGGGAGTAGATGAAGATGATATGCTGGACTCATGGTTGTGCCCAAAGTTGTAGAGCCCAAGAGCCGGAGCCCTGAATTCCAGGAAGTCCGTCGTCGGCCCGGACTTGCTGGTCTACCTCTCCAGGCCCGCCTTTTCGTGGTGTTGGGGAGTTTCTCTTGGCTTTCAATTTTATTATTGTTTTTTTTTTTTTTTTTTTTGGGGGGGGGGGGGGGTGTTTTGTTGTAGCTCCAGCTTTCAAGATGAAGATGGGTTCCCCAGGTCCCTGGTCCTCGAGGCGCTCCGCAGCTCCCAGGCCTGCGGCCAGCCTCCCGAGCCGCAAGAAAGAGCCGGCTTTTCAGTTTTGTCTCCCTCTCTCTTCTCTCTTCGCTCTCTCGCTCTCCCTCTCTCTTCTCTCTCTTCTCTCCCTCTCTCTTCTCTTCTTAGCTCTCTCTCTGTCTCTCTGTCTCTCTGTCTCTCTGTCTCTCTGTCTCTCTGTCTCTCTTTCTCTCTCTCTCTCTCTCTCTCTCTCTCTCTATGCTTACGGAGTCTCAAAGGTTGAGGGGGGCAAACTCAGGGAATTCAAGGGGCTTTCAGGGGGCTGGGTTTGAGGGGTTTCGGGGGTGCTTCCTGGTGAAACGCGGGTTGGCTTTCGCGGCGGGGGGTTTGAGGGGTTTCGTGATCTGGGGGTTTAGGTTGTTTTCGGGTTTAGGGAGTGAGGGTTTGTGAGGCAATTTAGGGGAGGGATTTGGGGTTTGAAGGACAGGGATTGAGGAGCTCTTTGGGTGTGTTTTGTGTGTGGGGCTTGGACATGCAGGAGGATGATAATGCAGGTGATGATGATGGCGATGATGACGGCAATGATGACGATGGCATGCCGTTGCTGAGGTTCGCCGTGTCGCAGCAGTCAGCGATCCTGAAGAACATGAAGATGATGGAGGCGCAAGGATTATTTCCCTTCTGTAGACACTGAGCCCACGAGCAGGTAGCAATAGCAAAAGCCCTCTAAGACCTAGGGCCCCAGAGCCCGTGTCCAGCAACAGCACACGAAAGCCTCAGAACTATAGTTGCCTTAACCCCCCCCCCCCCCGCCCCCTGCCCGAACCCCCTTAAGATGCTCCTTCCCCAGAGCCTCGAGAGCCAACACCTTGAAAAGCTCACAAGAGGTGCCTGCCGGGAGCCTCATCGAAGCCGCGCGGAACAGCGACTTCCTCCTCCTTGCGGCTGGGCAGCAGATCTCAGGAACCTCATGAAACCCACAGAATCGAACCCCCCCCCTCCCCACGAACCCGGCCGAACATGGGTTCGGGGGTTTTCGGCAAACCCTAAGCCCCAAACCCCAAACCCCAAACCCTAAACCCTAAACCCTGCTTGTGGTTTTGGGGTTGGGGTAGGAGGCATTGTCGGTAGGCCAGCAGTGGTTTGGGACTCCGGCGGCCTGAGGCTGACACCTCCCCATCCGAAGCCTTAAGAGGTCAAGAGGTTTGGCTTTCAGGGTTTAGGGGCTTCGGCGGCTTCTGGCATTTAGGGATAAGGGAAATCTGAAGATGTAGCGGCCCTTTTCTGAGGTTTTCAAGAGAGATCGTGGGAGTTGAGAAAACTTATGGGCCCTTCTAAGGCATCCAGAAGTATAGGGAAGGTACTGTCATAGAGACAAAATGGAGCCCAGGAGGTAGCCCGATCTGCAAAGAGCTCCCGTAACCCAGAATAGCCAGAAGAGAGCCCTGGTTTTTGAGAAGCAGCTTTCCACGAAGTCATATATAAGCCCCTACCCCCTGATGGGCTTTGCGGTGCCTGCGCTGCCCGAGGCTGTGATACAAGGAAGTGTCTCTGTTGCGACCTCAGCTCATGTGCAAAGACTTGGATCGGGCCTTGATTCTTTCGGTTGTTTCGGGCATTGATTTTCAGGGCCTTTTGGTGCCACCGGCTCAGGTGGCTCCAAAACTAGAGCACTTCAGGAGCTCGAAGTTCCAGCTGCAAGGGCTTTCAACGTAAGTGATCTGTTCCTTGATGCCCGCATCCAACACTGGACAATCGGCTTCTCCTGGGAGCTGTAAGTGACCTGCAAAGTGAACAGAACGGAGATGTGGGGGGGGGGGGGTTCGAAGAAAGGGCCTTGTGAACCCCTCGACCCACAAAGCCAACCGCCAAAGCCCTAGGCCCGAAACTCCTCAATACCAACACATCCTAAAACTCCCCGCAACCCCCACCCCCCACCGCCCACCCCCCAACCCCCCTCAAACCTGCCCAACCCCAGAATCCAGGACCATGCGAATCCAGACCAGCCGATCGTGCTGCCGGGCCAGGCCTTTGAGGCCTCTCTGGCGAAGTTTGGGTTCTGGGATTTAAGTTGAGGGGTTTCAGGTTTTCGGGTCCAGGAAGTCTAGGGTTCCATGCTTGTGAGCCATCACGAGACCCTAAGAGGGCCCAGCCACAGAAGGCCTCAGACCCCAAAGCAGCTCCACCTCCCGGAAGTCCCGGAAGGTACCTAAGCCCCAAACATCGTCCAGGTGATGCAACACCAGCGCCACAACTCCTTGCCGGCTGAGACCATGTCCGGCCCGCTGGTCATGTCCCTCGGCTTCGCCTAAACCCCCGAAGCCCCCCCAAAGCCCCCAGACCTGCTACGGCCTTGTCTAGACCTGAAGCCCTCCCTTTGAGGACCCGGGCCAACTCGGAAATCACGAGGTGCGGGGTGAGGGCGTTGTGCGTGGAGTTAAGTGCCGGTTTCGAGCTGGTTTTGCTCAAGATCCGTGGCTTGTGCTGGCGGAGTGTAGGGCTTGGGATTGGGCTTTTCAGGGCAGTGGGAGGATCAGATGGATTGCGAAGATGCTGCATTCACCCAGGCCCAGAACTCGAGAATCCTAGCATCACACAGACTTCCTTTAGCTCCCTCCTCGAGGTCGGCACCTTAGCGCCATCCCCAAAGAGCGGAAACCTCGTTCGTGAAGCTGTGAACCCTAGACCTTGCACCAAAAACTTGAGACTCTCCTACCCTAACACAAGGAACCGCCACCCATGGGGGGTTTCCGAATTAGGGGTGCCTTATTGGGGTCCTTATTAATAAGGGAATTTTATGATTTTGGGAGACTCTATTAGGTGTCCCTTATTTTTCCTAAACCCCCCACATTCCACCTGCATCTGGAGCCTCAGCCGAGCTTGGCGAGGGAGCGCCTGGACCTCGTGGCCGGCGAGGAGGGGGCCAAGGCGTGAAGCGGGCGCTTTGTGTTCCCTTTGTGTTCCCTTTTGTGTTCCTCCCGATTTTGCGTGCACGCAGCCTTAAGCCTTTAATCCCTTAAACTCGATTTTCAGGCTTGAGGGTTTCTAGGGTTTTTGGGAGCTTCTCCGCAGTACGAATTCGGTCTGGAGCTTCCCAGGTGGGGTCTCAGCCCCCTAATCGCGACAAGAGGGCCTCAGCTTTTCCCAAGAACCGAAAGGATTTCAAAGCCGCGTAAGACTCCAACCTGCGCTGTCACAGGTGGCCCTGCTCACTGAGTCAGGCGCAGGGGGGTCGGAAAAAAAAGGGCTCTGAGGGCTTGGGCTGTCTAGGGATTTAGGCTCAGATGCTTGAGGGTCCAGGGTGAAGGGCTTTCGGGCTCATGCTCGAGGCGTAAAAGGTAGGGTTTAGGCTGGGGCGGCCGCAACGGGAAAGTTCCAAGTAGCTCCTGCAGACAGGAGTTCATCTCCGCCAGCCCCAACCCTAAACTCCTAAACTCTGCGCCCCCAACCCCCCGAAATCGCCCAAATCCTCACCAGGCCTGGAGGCTGCTCTTGGCACGGGGGATGATGAGGCACAAGCGCCGCTCGGCTCTCGAGTTTGAGGGCTTTTCGGGTTTGGGGCTTGCAGGGTTGAGGGTTCCTCCCTCCCATCAGAGCCCTAGAGCCACAAAGGGCCACTTCCGCCTCCAGCACCACGGGTGGCGAGCGCTTCGCGCAGAAGATGCTGGCGGTCAAGAAGGCTATTGGGGATGTCTTCAGCCAGAGGGAACCAAAACCCTCAAAGCCACATGAAGCCCCAAGCTTCAAGAGCTTCAAGAGTGTCCAGAGACAGAGCTTGGACCCCGGCAGGTGGAGTTTGGGACTTGTGGGTCTGTATGAGTTCTGGAAGCAACAAGCCCCTGAGCCGGCAAAAGAACCAACACAAATCCCTCTAAGCACCCAGCACTTAAACCCAAAACATCCTGAAACCGTTAAATTAAGAGCGCTCCAAAAAAACCCTAAGACGCAAAAAGGCCTAAAGCTTCTGGCCCATTTAGTTACATTTAGTTAGAAAGATGTTTGGAGGTGCCAATCTTCCGCCATCTGAACAAGCAGCAGACGCAGAGGGTAGTCCGGTCCGGGGCCCAAGCCAAGAGGATTCGTTGTTTTCCAGAGTGGCGTGAGGGTTAGGCGGGAGTGTCCTTCCTGGGTATACATGCTGTTCAGGGTTACTTCTAGGGTAAGGTTTACAAGGCTTTCGGTTGCTCTTGAAGGAGGCAAAAGGAAGCTGGCGGCAAGTGGCGTCAGTTTGTATCGGATTGGGGTTGTGCATGCTTGGGGAATAGCTCGCAAGTAATTGTAAACGCTTGCGCGCGCCGCCTCGGCAGCCGGGCCGGCCCCAGGACAGGAAAGGAGGAAAGAGGGTTTCGCAAAAAAAGGGGGGGTTAAAGGGGGGGGGGTTGGGGGGATGGGGGAAGGGTTGGGTTAGGGGGGAAGGAGGCCCGATCCGGGTCTGCTTGTTCCAGACGCTTCTCGGCAGGAAGCCGAGGCGAATTAAAACACCAAGTTCCTCAGCTCCCAAGCTTCAAAACCCTGATGCCCCAAACAGAAGAAGCAAGGTCACTGCAGAGCAGCCATCGCTCCCTTGGTGAAGTGGTGATTCGGCAAGGCCGCATTGGAGCCCACATCCTGAGAAACTTCACCGTACCCGTTGCGGTGGGGATCGACCTTCAGAAGTGGCCACTTTTTTTCGGAGACCCCAAAGAACCTATCAGGATACCTCAAATAGGTACCCTAGTTTTGGGACCCCCCCCCCGCCCCCCAAGAGGATTCAGGGCTTCGGGGATCACGGCCCCCGCATTGCCGCGAGCAGGCGAGTCTGGCAACCACTTCTTCGTGATCGTCAAGGGTGAAGTCACAGCCAAGGGCTGAATGCGGCAGTTGCAGCTGAGGGAAGCGCTACCGTTTGGGGGAAAGTCTAGGACAGTCCCTGCACGACTACTTGAGCCCTATTCTGTGTACTTCGAGTCCCCTTGAGCTCAAAGAAGCCCAACTCCGACTCTTCTAACACCCCGAGGTGACCATTGACGGGAAGAAGATACGAACCCAGGGCAAGAATGCATCTTTTGGCGACGCCTGGATCATGTTTGCCATGGGTTTCGGGTGGGGATCTGGTTTTCCATAGTAGGGGGGCGCCCCTCAGGGGAAACCGCCCCCATGTTTCAGAGGATTCAGGGCTTCCAGCACCCCAAAGGAGCGAGCCCTGCTCTTTGACGAGCCGCGGAGCGCCACGGTGCAGGCCAGCGAAGCAGGGTTTGGGGCACCCGAAACCCTAAGCGCGATACCCCATAAACCCTCAAGCTGGGATTTAAGGGCTGAGGGTTAGGCTTACCCCCCCCCCCCTCCGAGACTCTGAGCCGTATCCCTGCAAGTATCCGAAGACGGCTTTTCCAGGGGGGTCCTTTGAGATCTTGCATTTCCCTTAATATCATTCCTGGAGTTGCCCCCCTTCTTGCTTCAGGTCTCTAGCGACCGGGTGGAGCTGTGGACCCTGGAGAAGTCAGTCTTCAAGCGCCTCGGCAGGGTCTTTCTCTTGAGACCCCGAAGCTCCAGGGTCGCGAAGCCCTCAGGCCCAGTTCCTCACGACCCAGGTTGGGGCTTCCTGGGATGACTTGTCCCGCATGGCACGTAGCTCCTGGGCCCCCCTGTCAGACTCTTACTGCTCTTTTGGAGCAGCTATCCTATGAATCCGAGACCCTGAGCCCTGAGCCGTGAACCCTAAACCTGAAACTCTGAACCCAAAACCCCTGAGGCAGATCATCACCGCTAAGATGCGGAAGGACCTGGAATATCGCATCAGCATCCAGGACGCCGGAGTGGCTCGGCGGAGCAGCCCTCCAAACCAAACCCTCAGGATGCAGAGAGGGCAATGGGCCCATCATTCTTACAGTACCAAATTTTTCTCATGGGTATCATCATGGCATCAGTATCATTGTTAGGCTCCAACCCCACGACCTCGGAACCCTAAACCCTAAACCCTACACCCTAAACCCTAAACCCTAAACCTCACGGCCTCCCGAGGTCACCTTGCACGACCTAAAGCCGATGAACTTCCTGGGCGCCGGCGCCTTTAGCACCGTGCGCCTCGTGGAGCACCGGCCGCCCGCCCTGAAGGGCTTTGTGGGGGTTTAGGGTTTAGGGTTTAGGGTTTAGGGTTTAGGGTTACGGGATTGGGGTTTAGGGTTTAGGGTTGAGGGTTGAGAGTTGTGGGCGCATGGCTCCCATTGTTTGAGGGTTGTTCCCCACTTAAACTAGCAGATCCTCAATAAAGAATATGGCAGGGGGTACGATTATCCCCATTAAGGACTGCTAGTATGAAGGGGAGCATCCCAAAGTATGAGGGGTTCAGGTTCCCCAGATCCTAAGCCCTCAAGCCCAAAACCATGAAATCCACCCCAAGCCCGCCGAAAGCGCGCCTGCCAGGAAGTCCGGCGCCAAGTACGCGCTGAAGACCTGCAAGCGGACGCTGAGCGGAAAGATGCCGGCGGTACTCTGGCCGCACAAGACACGCCAGGGGGCTTGGTGTTTAGGGCTTTCAAGATAAGATAAGATAAGGGTCCCCTCAGGTAGGCATTCCTGAGAGTGGAATCCCCGAGGCGGACCCATATCCGGAACGTTTACAAGGTGTTCCGGGTTCCGATAGCCCTAGCCTTCCCCATCCTTGCCCCAAACCCTTAACCTTTTTGAACGCCAAACCCTACACGCGCAACCCCCCCCCCAAAAGGGGGGCCTACAGTATGTGGCTCTCAATTCGAGGAGATGCAAACGGAGTGCGACATCCTCGCAGAGAACGATCATCCCTTTATCCTGCTGCTCCGGCTGAACCGCAAGGTTGCTGCGGGTTCCCTTCGGGCTCTAGGCGGCTTTTTCTGGTCCGCGGCTTCAGGGGGGCCCCTGCCCCATAGCCCCGAAAGGTTCCTTTTCGTTCTTTTTTGTCGAAAGACAACCGCGCGTTAGAAACAGAAAGCTCGCCCGCAGAGTGCGAAGCCAAGGCTGAGTCTCTAAAGGGTTTTGAGCTGCTCTCCCAGAAGGAAGTCCATAAGAAATTCCCCAGAAGTGATACGGACTGCAACCCCAAACCCTAAAGCCGCGGACTTGAAGGCTTGACATCCCTAAATAAAGCCCTAAGACAGCATCCCCTGATATCCCAAACGCCCGGAATTGCCTTTGAGCGCGGTGGCTCTAAGGTACATGGTGGCGGTCTTTGAGACGAGGACTTGCGTCAGCATGCTCACGGAGATCTTGGCCGGAGGACGGGCTTGGGAGTGGGCATTGCCTCGGTCTTAGGGTTCAGGGTTTAGGGCTGCTATTGTTTGGAAGGATTCAGGAGGCCCGCTTGACCCCGAACCACCTCACTCCGGAAAAATCTCCTGCACCTGTTCCCTCTAGCATGGAGGAGGGAACCCTTGGTGTTTTTTTCCTGAAAGTTGCGCCAGAAAGCGCGAATCTCGGCCAGGCGAGCTCTGGTCAGCGCTGCGGAAGCTGCCTGTCATGCTGTCCAGGGACGCCCCTTGCCTGGTGGTTTTTTTTTGGCTTTCCAACGCGAGAAGCCCCCTTGACAACGTCTCGCCGTGTTTCAGGCGTTTTGGGCCTTCTTGGGCTCCAGGTGTTTGGCTGCGGCTTGGACCCCTGCACCCCGAGCTCTAAAAACCCTCCCCAGCTAGCACGAGATCTCGCCTTGGGCATGGGCACGAAGCGGCGCTTCTGGAGAGAGCTTAGGGTGATCGGAAGCTCGAGGCCCTCAACTACAGGTTCCCCGCATCTCCTATGTGCGCTGAACCCTGAACCCTTGAGTTACTTGCAGTCAGATGCATCGCCGCCTGCAGCCTGCCTCTCGCCGGCTCAGCCTCCTTCCCTTGCGGTATACGTAGAGCCCTCGACTCATCCAAGCTTCCGTCGCCATGTCGGACAAAGTCCTGAGCCTTTTGGCAGGATTTGGGAGTTACTGTGTGCCCTAAAGCCTAGGACCTTCGGTTGCTTCGGTCTTTTTTCGTTTAGGTGCTCAGGGTGGAGCGTGACGTAGTCGTCAGCCATTGTGGCTGATGCTGTCAGGGTCTTTGCATCATTGCAGGCTACATCCACAGAGATGCCATGAAAGGCAAACAGAAATCCCACACCCGAGGCCCTGCACGTGAAGAGCACCCCCAAACCCCCGAAGCCCCAGGTATGGAGGAGGTCGCCAAGCACAACACCAAGGAGGATTGCTGGGTCGTCCTCTACGGCAAGGTGGGCCCACAAGCCACACCAGGAGTAAGGTATAAGGGCTCCAGAAACCCTTCAAACGGATCGAACAAGGAAGGATAGATTACTACCTTCCCCCTCCTCCTTTCCGGAAAAAGGTGCTTACCGGTTCAGGCAGCTTGGCTTGAGACCTCGAGTTTCGAAGGAGCGGGTTGTGAGGTCTTGGGGTTCGAGGGTTTTGTCTAAACCATCTAATCCCTCGAAAAAACCCAAAAGCCATACAGCCCCAAAAAAACTTTGAAGCCGTGAAGCTTCAGCAAACCTTTTAACACCCTTGTCGCAACACCCCAAGCCCAACACGCAATTAAGACCCTCTTAAACCGGAATGAGCGCTTAAAAAAACCCTGTTTCAAAACCATTCAGGCTTACGACCTCACGAAGTTCGCCAAAGTCCATCCGGGCGGCGCGAAGCTCATCACTGTGGCCTGGATGCTCACGAGGTCGGGTTGAGTGTTTTTAGGGGCTTCTTGGGCTTTTTAGGGTTTGACTGTTGTCAGGGTTTAATTAGGGTCTCAGTTTGGGATATCTTTTTTAAAATGTCATCCTGTGTATTGTTTTTGGTTCAGCCGTTCTACATTAACTTTGGTTCAGCCGTTCTACTGACGAGCACACCGTTGGGGTGATTATTTTGTCACGGTTCTGCTGTCAATGCTGTCATGTCATGGCTGCCACGACTCCTATGGTTGTGTCGCTGTGTTTAGGATTTGGCGGTCTGCGCATGTCCGCTTGGTAAACCATGTTCCCCTGACATGCTTTGCCTTCATGTACGGTTTCATGCCCCTGGTTGTGTGAGTATGGCTACTGTCGTCATCGGGTGCTTTTGCTAGATTGTTGTATTTCTTGCTCTTCTTGCTGTTCTAGTTGTTTTCTTCTTATGTTATTTCTTCCCTAAACCCTAAACCCTAAACCCTAGACCCTAGACCCTAGCCCCTAGACCCTAGACCCTAGACCCTAACCCTAAACGCTAAACCCTAAACCCTAAACCCTAAACCCTAAACCCTAAACCCTAAACCCTAAACCCTAAACCCTAAACCCTAAACCCTAAACCCTAAACCCTAAACCCACATTGGGGAATGCCGAGGACGCGGCGGGCATGGATGCGACGGCCATCTTCGACCCAATCCACCCCAAGGACAGGTTCAGGATCCAACAGGCTGAGGGGGGGATGGTTCAGTGTTCAGTGTTTAGGGTTTAGGGTTTAGGGTGTAGGGTTCAGGGTTCAGGGTTCAGTTTTCAGTGTTTAGGGTTTAGGGTTTAGGGGTTGTGTGGGCCTAAGTTCGTTTACTTGGGCTTGCGATGCCCTTGCCCCATGAGCCAGCGTGGTGAGGCTAAGCTCGTCGCAAGCCCGGCAAAACTCCAGCCAAAGAAGGTTGCGAAACACATCAAACTGACCAGATGCTTCTGTGGATTGAAGAGCGAGAGGGTTGAGAGGTTTAGGGTCTCGGAACTGCTGAACTGGACTTGCACCGCTCCGCTTCTCCCCACCCCACCCGAATCGAAGCTCCAAACTTTTCTTGGGTTCAGACCAGCCTGCTTGGCATGTTTGCGAGATGCGTCAAACTTGCAAACTGCAGGACATCATGGACAAGCTCCTGAAGCCTTCTCTGCAGCTTGATCCGCACATGAGCACCTGATCTTCTTGATGGTCGAAGATCGTCCTAGCCCCCTGAGCTCCACTGCCCTAAGCCGTACATCTTATGACTGAACGTTGAAATTAAGTTGCAGCCGCCGCCCCCGGAATGAACACCAAGAACGTGAAACATATCCCGAAACCTTGCCTGGGTACGCACGTCCCGCTTCTTTGTCCCTGAGAACCTCATCAATTACACGCCCCAAGGAAAGCTGCTTGCTTCGCAGAAACGAACATGGGTCTCGAAGTTCTGGGCTCTTTTGGGGTCTTTGTTGTCGGCTATTCCTTGTACCGGAAAGGGGGCCATAACCTAGAGCAACGTTTACATAAACAAGCGGAAACGTGAACCCTGAACTCCGCACCCAGAAATCCCTGCACAGGACCATGGGCGTCGTTGATGCAGCGTCGATCAAGCCGGAGCACGTAGCGAAGCCACCGGAGGCAGCCCTGAACTCTGCGGTTTGGGGTTTGCCTTGAGTAGCCCTTTCTGCAGCGGGCAAATATTCTGTCTCGCTGGAAAAACCTAATCAAGCCAGGACTAAACCTGAACCTCAATGATGAGGTGAACGTCAGAGTTTGCACTTGCAAAGGGGTTGACGAACAAAGCAGGATGGAGAGGCGGCTAGCATTGTGCATTGGCCTGGTCTTACCAATGTCCTGAACACTCCCAACCGCAAAGCCCTGCCCTTGGCTTGCAGCCGACGCCTGCGAGGCCCACAAGCCCGCACCCAAGAAGAAGAAGGCTGCATCGGCTGAGGCAGGAACGACCCCAAAGCGTAAGGTACGCTCTGAAGCCATGGCTGGGTCCGGTTTAGTGTCGTTCTTTTTGAGCGTGGGGCTTGGATTGCTAGATGTGCTGCTTAAGTACTGGCAGGGGTGGGTATGGGTTTCGTCAGGCTTTGGTCAGGCTTCTGACGTCTCTTTTCAGTGCAGCCTCCTTGTGGCAAATGTCCCCGGTCCGAATCTCCCAAGTCACCCGATGCTGCATCCCCAAGCCGAAGCCCGACATCATACGCAACGCAGGAAGGCCCAAGTGCTTGTGCCATCCTCCCGATACCGAAAGCGCCATGGTGAGAGCGCTGTGGCTCCCGGCTGTTCTCTGGTGCTTGGTGCGCTGTGTGGCAGGAACCAGCGCTTGCCAAGCGGATTCAGAGCATTCGTCGGCCTTGCAGACCTCCCTGAAGGATCTGCGTGGCCACAGCCATGGACATCATGGCCACCACCAGGCCATGGATGGAAGCCACTCGCATCTCAAGACCAAGAAGCACAAGGCTGCGAAAAGGAAGGCGCGGCTGCAGGCGCGCCGCAAGAGGAAGCAGGCAAAGCTGGCGAAGTCGCACTTGAATCACTTGAATCACTCGGAACCTTGGCATGCAGCGGAGCTTCTCAACGAGGAGAGGCAGGAGACGGAGGTCGCAAGGGCTGTCAGGAAGTCAGCGAAGGCCAAGAAGCAGCACAAGAAGGAGAAGAAGGTGAAGAAAACGCACGTCTCTTGAGCTTTTCTTGGGAAATTTTCTTCTAGTTGGTTCTCTTTCAGTCTGCAGGACCCCCCCAAGAAAACCAATACCTGTCGATAGGAAATCAGGCAGCAACTACAATCAGCAAATAAGGAATTCCTTTGCACCATACTTGTGATAAGCCCGTATGTATGTATGCATGTATGTATGCATGTATGCATGTGTGTATATCCGTGTACCCAAAGTTGAGGCATGTGAGTCTGGTGGCTTCGCCTTCACCTTCACGCGCCCAGGTCGCCTCATGAGGCCCTGAACCTGAACACATGGGAACAGAGGTTTAGGGTTTATGGGGCTTCATAGCTTACGCAGGGATTAGTGGGCCAAAAGGGCTTTCGGTGTATCGGGCGTGTAGATGGGATGTAGATGGGCTTACAGATTCTTTGGCTTGTGTGGTTCGCACGGCTTTACAGCTTCTAGGGTAATAGGGTTTTCAGGGTTTACGGTTTGTGGTTTCGCCCACGAGCCTTAAGCGCCTTGGTGTGGGTGGTATGTCCACACCTAGACGTGGCTTTGTTTGTCTTCCTGCCGTCGCAAGTTCCGGTGCCCCCCTCGGGAGTGTGGATATGAGGGGCCTGGTGTACTTCTTCTTCTGATACCCAGCTTGCAAAACGCAATCTTCATCCATCCGGAGCCTTAAGCTAGGATGACATGTGCCGATAGCGGTCATGAGTCAGCTGTGCAGAGGGTTGAACTACAAGACGGCTTCAAGACGGCATATGCACCTGCTCACATGACATGTCTTTAGGCAGGCATGCAGGCATGTCACGAAAGCTCGCGTAGCGAAGCTGGAGTTTTATCTGCTTTAGCAGCAGGGGGCCGACCACGGCCAGAAAACAGCGTATTATTGATACTATCTTATTAGGGGGGGGGGTGGGGGGGGGGGTAAATTGATATATCAATACCTTAAGGGGAGGCGTTTTTACGTCAAGACCTGACTCCGTCGCGTGTTGACCGCAGCGCGTGAGTCAGGCTCCCAGCACAACATGCGTCGCCGCCCACTAGTGATGTGTTGATTGCAACAAGCTAGTTGATTGCAAGAAGCTAGTATCTACCCAACACTGCGACAGCTGAAAAGAAGACGCTGGCCCCTCAAGCATGCCTCCAACTGGGCCCTGCCC